TCATGCAAGAAAGAAATGAGTATTTCTGGAAAAGTTAAAAGTGTATGGACAAGCAGCTTTATTTAACAGTTGAATATGACATGACGTTGATATCATGAATGCAAGTCACGATGAAAGAAATAATTGTATTGTCACATAGCCGTTACATGGCCTTTTCTAACTGTTCCTGATGGGTTTTGTTGGCAGGAAGATTTTTTTGAACAACAACCGAAGGGTGCACTGTATAGTTTGTATATTAATAATTATGTTGGAATGAAATAAACAAAACAAAATTTACCGGTAGGTACATTTTGTAATGGAATTTGGCAAGATCAAAAGTTTAAAAACAATTTTAAAGAAATCTAATTTGGCCTGATTGGTGAAAGATGAAAACAAATAATGATCAGCTACTCCACCGTTTCTTTGAGAAATATCTTGCATCACAAAATCATTCATATCAACAATACAATAAACATTTAATAGCATTTATTATAAAAATAGATTACAAAATGTTAGATGATTTGATCGCTATTGCAACATGAGATGGTATAGGAAAGAAGCACCACCATAATGTACAGATTGAAAAAAAGTCTGGAACACACAACATATCCGATTCTGTATTGTTTGATGAAAATGTACATAAAATGTGTCAACAAAGAAACATAATAGTCAGAACAGATATTTATATTGAACATAATTGGAGGAGAGAACAAAGGTAAACAGTTTGTGTTGCCATTTGTATCTAATAGACACTGATCAGCCATCAGCCACTGGCATGTTCGCCCACATAAAGCCAATTTCTATCCATACAAACAGCGGTGCACACAGAATAGAAAAACAAAGTAATGTTTACGATCATGGAGTGACCTAGATCGTAAGTCAATGACCATCAACTACAGCTGGAGTACGTACTGCGAACCGATAAATGTTTCGCTGCCAGCAATGTTTACAAATTTCACAGCAGTAATTATGACTTTAATAGTACCATTAAAACCTCATTGAAATATTTACTAATTTGAAATCATGTGTGAATTTTGCATCGCTCACAAAATTTGTGTCTCTGGAAAATAAAAATAAAGCAGTAATTCATCTTAACCCTTTCGCAGTGAGATTTGTTTTCTCCAAATTGTTTTTAAAAATTTTTTTTTTACATTTTATAGAAATTTATTTAAAATCACAACATAAATTTTAGAAAATCAGAATTTATTTTTCATTTAATAACACATCACAGGTCGATGCCCCTACATGTATATTTATCTCGGCAATAAATCAAGGCTTCCAGTAAATGATGTTTTAAACCATTTGTGAAGATTTGATGAACAAAAAGCTTTCAGTCAACAGTAATCATTTGTAACAATAGACCATTTTTCGTTCACTGCGAGAATCACGCGTTATGCATGAAATCAAACGTAAAAACAGGACAAACAAAGGTCATAGCGGCGTCAAACATCGTGTGGGATTCAACAAATGCAAAAGTATTTTGGGAGACATTTCCATGCTTAATAATGTGCTGTCCACATTTGATGATAGGCAATTTCGATTAAGTAAGGGTATTCAAAAGTAATATTCCTCTGTCAAAGATCGGCCGGTCGATGTGAGCTACGAAATAAAGAAATTCAAAATCAAATAGTTCGATTTTTGCGGCAGACGTTCGACGCACGTCTTTCATGTATCTCGCAAGATCTCGCAATTGTATAGAAAATCATCTATTGACAATGTTGGTGAAAGGGTTAAGATTTGAAAAAAAATGCTATGATTTACTCACTATTTCACTTTTCCTTTCTATTATACCACAGCTTTTTCTGCCATAACTCAGTTTACGCATCGATTTATGCGTACCCATATTGGGAAGCAGAAACCTAACCCGATGCCCGCCCTAATCAAGTACAAATTTGGTTTTATTGCAATTGTCCAATTCTTTTCACAGCAAATATTTTTTTCTCAAATTTATTTCTCAAACAGTCACCATGCAGATTATAGATCTATTTCAAATTAGGATTAACACGACAGAACATGATAACCAAGGAAGTTGATGTTTCAATCTTCATCTCTTGAAAGCTAACAAAATAATTTATCATAATTATGCAAATTTTCTCTTGATACTGGGCACCATGATTGGTTGAATGGATGCATGAACATGTACAATACTAGTAAAATGGATGGATGGTTACGATAGCAACACCATTCTTCAGCAGAGCAAGATTATATATTACTTAAAATCAAAACATGATAATTGAAACAAGAACTCCTGGGGTATATATCTTTTTTTTTTTTAAATTTTCCAGAAAATTAAACAAGATTCTCGTCACATAAATCGTGCAAAGTTGCAATTCAATGTCTCCCATGCATTAAAAGTGTTTTATGACTGAGATCCAACTCTCCATGCATGTGAACACACAACAACAACAAAACAAAACAAGATAAAACATCAAAAAAAGAACATTGACAGGACAATTCAAAACAGTGTTGAGGAAATAGAAATATTACTGTTCTTAAATTTGAATATGACAACAAAACTTACAATTCCCCTTCCACGTCGACGTTTTTTCCATGCACTCACGACACCCTGGGCACTACCTGACCTGGATGACGAACCTCTTCTAGACATCGCCTGAGGAATCATCATCTTTGAAGCCTTCTAGTGACTCAAGATGTACCTATATAGAGCAAGAGGAGACAGTGAAGAAAGATTCAGAGCCGAGAAATCATTACACACATATAGAAATGTACATCACTACTGCACTATATTCTGAGTAAACAAGGAAAATGTCAAGGTGGCACTGTGAAACATGGTCCTTGTGATCTGCTCTCAACAGCAACAATTTTAGTGTTCCCACTTTTCATTGGAAATTCACAAAATAGTCCTGTTTATAGTAAGAAATTTCTTTCAGAAGATTAGGACAAAAAAGCCTAATTTTTAGAGTAAAAACTAAAAATGTTTTCAAATTTTTTCAGTTGGCTCCAAAAATGGAATAGAATTGAAAAATTTAAGAAAAAAGTGCAGAAAAATTTGGGTGAGAAAGTTTGGTGGTGAATAGGTTAAGTGATAACACAATACACTTACAGCCCAGAATACTTTAAACTGTTCTTCTATTTCCGGTTGAACCGACTTTTGCACAAGTTGTAATGTTGAGTTTTTGGGCTTGTCGCCCTCTTTGGCAAGATTCTGCATAACTTCTGGTGGTAAATTGACTGACCTGAAGTGAAAGAGAATTAAATATAAATATGCACAAAAATGTTGATGGTGAAAACAGAATTATGGCACTCTCATAGCATGATGGGTAATTTAATATTTTTGTATGATACCATTAGATTCAGAGGGGTGGTGCACCAAACCATATGACCAAACCCTAAATGCAAGAATACATATTCGTTGTTGGAAAGTACTTTTTTGAAAAAACAAAATATCAGTAGTAGTTAAGTATGGAATGAAATTATTGTTACAATGTATATCCAGTAAATATAAACAACTGAATATAAACATCCATAATGCTTATAATCTGTATCACATGATCCCTATTGACCAATTATAGCTGAGTAAATTATCACAGTATATTTTTATTTTCATGAAACAGTAAAATCTCTTACTTTTTTGAAGACTCTGTAAAATAAGTAGCAATGATATGTTTCATCTGCGTATTTCGTTTTTCGGTGTGAGCATCTGGTAACCGAAGATAAATGTCGATATCCTGATGCATAGTTAATTTGTTCAATGCAGCGTTCTCCTCATCCTCAGTAAGAAACTTTTTGAACGAATCCATCATTCTATAGATTACAAATCACAAAATAAAATTTACATTGACATTGACAGCGCTTTTCATGCAATAGTGAAATCAGTCAATTACTGAAAAACATGTCTTTTTCGCGAATTTAGCGAGAGAACTGATTTGCTAATTCAAGATGTCGCTAATGACTTTATTATCAATTCAAAATGGCCGCCAAACAAAGAAATCAACAATGACAAGAGAGATTCGCTAAATCAACATTATGCTATTACGTCATTTTACCACAATTCCCTAAAATTGCATGCCGCTTTTTTGAACATGTTTTACAGTATTTTGAATCAAACCTGACTAATAATGGCGCCATCTTCGATTGAATCATGAAAATACATGTATATGGATGTGCTCAGGTGTGTAAAAACAAAGTTATGTGTATTGAGGTCTCATAATGAGCAAAATCTTCCCAAATATGACCAAGACAAAATGGTGCAATAATAAGTCCCTGTTTTAATATTATTCCCATATAAGTTGTATATGCCAATTGGAGGACCTGTTACCATGAAAATGGTGTTGGGATTGGTCAGCCAATCAGGGGGAATCTTCCTAGTTTCCTGATTGGCTTCATGACCA